TCATCACGGCTGGTGCCTTCAGGGGCGGACAAGCACCAAGCATTTGCTTTGTGTCACTGGGTGAGGGGTTGGGAGACCCCAAGCCTGGTTCGCTTTCTGCCTCTGGAATGCTCTCGGTGATTGGGTGGAGGGTTGGGAAATACTGGCCTATATCTTTGGTCTTGAATGGAGGGCTAGAATTGCTGAGCCTAGGTCTTTGTTTACTACTTGAGTTAAGAATAAGGAAGGGCCAGGGATTTAGCTCAGTGGTTTCGCCGCCTGCTGCTCAAGTGCAAGGACCTGAGTTCGATCCCCAGTACCAAAAAAAAAAAGGAAATACTGGGCTTATTGTGGTAAAATTACAGTGATAAGATCTACAAGCTGTTGCCTAGTAAGGGATGCACCAGGGACTTGGTTCTGCTGTTGCTATTTCTACAGAAATATTTACAAATGCCGCTGGCCTAACTATGGTCTGGTATATGCTGACCCTCCTGAGTTGTACCTCTGCTATGGCAGGTGTGTGGCATAGAATGGGCCATCCTTTCTAGATTGCACTGTTGCAGGCCGGGTAGGGTTAGACTGCCTTCTAAACTCTACCAGTGGGGTAGTTGCTGCCACTATATGCGAGTCATCCACTAAGTCTCTTCAAGTCTTTCTCTTTCTCAGTCCTTTGGGCAAAGAAAGCAGTTTTCTTTTTTTTTTTGGTATTGGGGATTGAACACGGGACCTTGCACTTGCCAGGCAGGTGGTGCACCACTGAGCTAAACCTCAGCCCAGTTTTCTTGTCTATTTATTGATTTATCTTATGCCTGTGCCTGTTGGCAGTTCTGCGTTACAAATCTCTCTACCACCTAATGCAGAATAAATTGAGGATAAAAAAGAAAACCTAGTAAACTCACTGTCGTATTGTTCTTCAATTCCAAGGTCTCTAGCCAATCCACTTTCTATCCATATTTCAAAGTACTTTTATGTACTGAATTATTTCCAGAGTATTTGGTAGCATTTGGTGGGGAAGAGGAAGGAAAAAAATGAGCCTAAAACTATTTGTCCCAGAACCCACAAGTACACTTAAATGGGCCTTTAAACAACATTAAATAGACTGAGAGATGTTACTATTATCTTTCCTTTTTACATGTTCTTTTTTTCATTATGCAGCCCAGGCTGGCCTTGAGCCCTCTGTGATCCTCCTGCCTCAACTGAGTGCTAGGATTACAGGTGTGCATCACCATGCCCTGCTTACATTTTTCAGTATGTATTTATTGAGGCCTACACTGTTCTAGATTCTGAGTAGCTGAAGAGCTAATGCTGGATAAAATTTCTACTAACTGGAAATTATATTCCGGTAAGGGAAGAAAAAAACACAAGCAAGTAAAGTCTATATAATACTTATGGGAAATTTTTCAGCCAATTCAGAAAATTCAGAGGGCAAATACGAAAGACATAATCAATTCAATATTTATTTGAAGTTGTGGAGAATATTGGTACTGATAGTTTATGCCCAATAATAATGCTAGAAACTGAGAACAAAAACTTTTACTGAATGAAGCACTTTTAGATCAAATGTAAATGATTAAAATATGCATTAAGATTTATAAGACAGGAAATAAGAGACTGAAAGGGATATAAACATTTGTGGGAGATCTAAGTTGTAAAAGCTCTGCCATTTATTACTTGTATTACCTTCAGCAAATCACTTAACCCTTCTAGACAGTGGTTTATTCAACTATAAAATGAGATTAAACTAGATTATCTCTATGTTTCCATCAAACTCTTTTTTTTTTGGGGTACTGGGGACCAAACTCAGGACCTTGTGCTTGCGAGGTGGGAGGTGGGTGACCCTAAACTCCTAAATCTTGCCATTCAGTTAGCTACAACCAGTTAAAGTACATGTTCTCAGGTGTTTTTCACACAAATCCAATTAACTATTCCATCCAAAGCTGAAACTGAAAGAATGAACATCGATTATTTTATCCCTAGGTCCTAACATGCATCTGAATCTTTGAGCAATCTATCTGTTTATACTCAAATTTATGTGAACCTATACAGATATAGCAAACTTTCTAGAAATATCCTTAAGACATTAAAAAAAATTTTGTTTCTTTTTGAGACAAGGTCTCGCTACATAGCTCAAGCTGGCCTTGAATTTGTAGCGATCCTCTTCCCTCAGCCTCCTCTGTGCTGGGATTATAGGCATGGGCTATTATTCCCAGCTTCCTAAGAAACTTTTTTTTTTCTAGCTAATATATCTACAGCTTTATTTATTGGAAGCCCTATTTGCGTATGCAAATCTCTTATTTTTTAAAATTAATTTTATTGGTACATTTTAGGTATACAATATAATGACATTCATCATTGGAAATTTGCACCTTTACATAATCTCTCTTGGTTCTT